TTTAATTAATTCTTCTCAATAATTCTTAGATTTTTGATGATACCTAATGTTAACTAGGAAGAAAAAAATACTGTAAAATCAGCACAATGTGTTGTATGTTTACAAACAATGTTTACATTTGCAAGGCATAAAGCACATCTATATGATTAGCGAACATGTTAAATGTGACAGTTCAGAAACAGAAATAGTTGTTTTTTTTTAGCTTTAAGGGCATCTGTATGCAAACATACTCCGGAAACGAATAAAATCCCCTTATAGAAAATGAAGCAAAAATATTGATTACTCATGTTTCACTATTAGACTAAAAAGTCCAAAAAATATTGTTTTAATTTAAGGGGAAAAATCAGTAATGCTTTTTGGATCAATCTTTTAAATGTCAGATTTTTGCTGAATAACAAAAAATAGCATTGTGTTTTAATGTTGTGGTGTTCTTATTTTTGATGTCTGGCCATATTGTTCTTTCATTCTAGAAGTAAATTCTTCAAATTTCTTTCTTTATATCAGTGTTGAATCTATTTCTCTGAGCTCATGTTCATATGTCACTGCTAAAGCTGATACTGCACTTGCGTATATATGTGCATGTGTTTGTTTAATGGCCTCTCACTGTTCTTTCCCCTTTTGCCTGTAAGACTAAGCTTTCCTTTCGGTCTTGTCTATCTCTCTCTCTCTCTCTCTCTCTCTCTCTCTCTCTCTCTCTCTCTCTCTCTCTCTCTCTCTCTCTCTCTCTCTCTCTCTCTCTCTCTCTCTCTCTCTCTCTTCATGCTGCCCTCAGTGCGAGATATGGGAGCCCAAAACGGCAGCTGCAGTTTTACAGGTACCTCTTTTGTTTGCTGATTAATTAGCCATGGCCATCTGATACTGCATTCGTTTTCATCTGTTTTGGAAAGCACTTTCAAGTCATGGGTTCATTCTTAGTTTAGCTGCTCCTGATACCGGTGTGATTATGTCATCATTATACTTCTGAAAGCGCAAGGGAATAATATTCTAGTACGCGTGACTACAATGTTATTTGCTTGTAATGTTTAACAGCGGATAAATAATAAATGCGACATGTATTGTTGAATTACAATGGGATGAATTGAGACTAACTGGTGCTTAATATTGTTGTATACTTGTAAAAAGGGATAGTTTACATTCAGTGGGAACATCTAATCTCACTTGTAATCTGTGCATGTGTTTGAGTTGTATACCAGTCTACAGTACAGTGGTGTGTGTCAGAATAACGCTCACTAAGTAGTGTCCCTAACACAAAGCTCTTAGATTTAATTTCACTCCATGTAGAATTAAAACAGTGTTGCAGGTAAGTCATGGAGTTCAGGTTTCCTTGGCTGTGGAACACTTCTGAAACTCAAAGCAAGACAAACATGAGCCCAGAGAAGCAGTGAATGTTCAGTAATCTCATATGAGGAATCATATTTCATCCCAAATTCACACTTGGTTAGATATTTATGCCGGTGTGTGTTTTCTATTTAAACATATTCTATTTATTCTCTTGGCTTTACCAACACTTGTAGAGTGTGGTAATTTATTCTGAGCACTTTACAGGCTGTGTTATTTGGCAGACATGTTCTGTGAATATTGTCAGTGGCAACATCTTAAAGTTTGTTTTTTCAGGAACTATTTTATTTTTAGGAGCAATTTTTTTTATACATGCCAGCAATGAATATTGATAACTGGATTTTTTTTTTTAATTCATTTGTTTGGCAAAAAAAGAAAACTGGTTAAAGCAAATCATTTATTAGGTTCTTTGTTATAATAAAATAACATAGCCGAAAACCATTCAGCTTTCCATTTAAAGCTATTAATTCATGCACTTGAACCAATTTTAATAAATTCTTCCTAGTAATTCTTGCAATTTGGCAAAACCTAATGTTAACTAGCAAGAAACAATTACTGTAAAATCAGCAGAATTTACAATCCTGTTTAATACAACAAAGAATACCAAATGTTTACGCCTGTAAGGCATTAAAACACATTTACATGATTAGCGAACATGTTTTATGGTGACGTATAAGAAATCACCCAAAACACTGACACTGTCGCTGGGCCATCATTGTTGAGCCCTGAGCCAAAATTCATTGCACTTATTTGATGTGTATTTTCACACTAATTCACTAACTTAGTTTGCATGCTTTAAACGTTAACTATTCTAAAACCAGATATGGAGGTGCATAACTGTCAAGTCTTTATGACGTCTGAAAAAGCTGTACGAACACAATAATGGAGCAGATTTTGCATATGCAACATCCTCCCTGCTGATGGTATGAGCTCACCTGAAAGCAACCGCTTTATGCAGCTGCTGCTTTTAGCGATCAGATTGAACGCATCCCTTTTACCCTCATCTGCAGTGCACTTTTCTTCCTGTTTTAGTGAGGGATCATATTTTTATGGGTTGAAAAAAGGAGTTGTTTTGCTGATGGGTTCTTAAAACCCCTGCCTCCGTATAGCTCTGAGGCTAATGAGCACTCTATTGAATTTTGATTTCACAGCCTTTCACATTTTTGTCCTTTTAAGCTCAAAGTCTTTTAACGTCGCATCACACAGATCCGCTTGACAGGAATTGATCACCATGTTTCACGCTAACACACAGATAGAGTGATGGGAAAGGAAGATTACCTCATTTCAATCATTATTGTAGTGTGTTAATGGTTACCTTTTTTGTAGGTTTTGTTTTAATTGTGTTGTGTTATGTTTTGTGTCTTTTTTACGTGTATTGCACTCCTACAATTAACGCACATAGTACTGTATGAGGATAATATTGTGACTAGTTCTTTGAGAACCGAGATTGCGATGTGTTTTAACAGATTCAGTAAGTAAACTGGCTGTGACCGTTCGCTCTGTGGGATTTACTGCAGTCCTCCCTTTTAAATGGCACACCCCTCATTGCAGCACATAATGCAGTGACTTCAATGCAGTGTTTTGAGGTCTGAAAAATACCAATCTGAACGTACACTAAACTACAAATAAGCTACAGCATTTTTTAATCAAGGTAATGTTCATTTCTAAATATAATTCATTATTAGTTGATGATCATTTATACATCTTGAAATGTTAAAAATACATTAGTATATGTCAAAATGAACTTTGATTTGTTGATTTGTTTTTTAGTGTTATTGCATTAACTATATGTTATGTTAATGTATAGAACATTTATATAAAGCCCTTTAAAAAAAACACAACACTGCAATCTGAGCATAGCACTACCTCTCTGGAAGCAGTGAGAAAAACAAAAACACATAGTCCACTTAAAAGTCCAAATCAATGCAAAGACAATACTGCATTTCTAATAAAAGATGTACGTTGGCATATATCTGCATATAATGTGGAAGACTCATTTAGTTAACGAGTTGATATATATTCTAGCTCTTTATGAGGATTGAATCTGGTGATTTCCGGTAAGGGGGCTTCATTGATTTTCAGGATGAATGTTTTAACATTGGCTGTTGAACTTCTCTTTCACTTTCATTTAGGCCATTAAAGATGGATGTGCAAGTATCGTTTCATGTGTAGGTTAAAGTGTCTAAAGGCTGTCATGTGTGAACGGTGATGATGGTTGTTTACTTTTTGTAGAAGAATGCATTTTTGTCTGTTATTGTGTCTGTTTTGTACTTAATGCACTTTAGTTATCCGGAAATAGTGCTGAGGTCCAACTAATACTTAAGGATATTGGATTGTGCTAAAGTGGAACTATTGCAAGTGCACTTTAGGTACACTTTAAATATCTTGCATTTACAGTGATCACACTATCCTTATTAATAGGGATATTAAAACACATTTTAGGCTTAAAGGGATACTCCACTTTTTTTGGAAATAGGCTCATTTTACAACTCCCCCAGAGTTAAACTGTTGAGTTTTTGAATCCATTCAGCCGATCTCCGATTCTGGCGGTACCACTTTTAGCATAGCTTAGCATACATCATTGAAGTGGACAAGACCATTAGCATTTCTAAAAAAAAAAATGACCAAAGAGTTTAGATATTTTTCCTATTTAAAACTTGACTCTTCTGTAGTTACATCGTGCACTAAGACCGACGGAAAATGTAAAGTTGCGATTTTCTAGGCTGATATGGCTAGGAACTATACTCTCATTCCTGCGTAATAATCAAGAAACTTTACTGCCGTACCATGAGTGCAGCAGGCGCAATGATATGACGCAGGCGCTGCGTCATATCATTACGCCTACTAAGTGTGACTCTTTTTTTTACAACCCTTTAACAAATCAGAATCATCTCCTTGATTTTTTTGTGTGTTCATATAGGTAATACAACAAAAGTCACCAAGTTTCACCCCCATCCGATGAAGCAAAAAAATTAAACAATTCAAAACGTAAAAGTTTTCGGTCATTTTCGGACGAAGAAGCCCAGAGGGTTAAGAAATGTGCATTGTGCAATAAATAAGCACTCCAAATAAAGTTTAATTATAATATTTATATCAGTAAGTCTCAAGCGATATGTCAGTAAATATGTTAATGGGTTTGTAGTATACTTAAATAAACAGATTTTAAATACATTTTGGTATTGTTTTTTTTTTCACTAGGGGAGTTTTGGTATCTAGTCAGTGGAGAGTCATTCATGTTTTTATTATGTTTCTTGGATGAGTTATTTTTCTGTGAAGTCTAATGTTGAATATTTATACCTGGCATATTAATTTTTGCTAAAATGTGCTGCTTTTGATTTTTACTCTGATACGGCTGTGTCTGTGTTTTTCTGAAGATCCACAAGCTCACACAGGCATTATTAGTGCACTAAAATGCCTTTATCTATTATCACATGTGGATGGAACAACAATCAAAAGCTTTTAGTGCAAAAGCTTCTGTGAATAATTTAGACCAGATATTATTTGCTGCTGTTAGCAGAAACAAATTCCTCCCCCCTTGAATGACATAAATGGATTTCCTTCATGGAGTCGGCTGGAGTTAAAGGCGGGATGGGGGTTGGAGGATGAGGGCGATGCTCTCTTCTTCACTAATTGGTTTAGATGATGGCATGTAAGACACACCCAGTTTGGGTGGATCGCTGGATTGCTAGCAGCGGAGTTTAAAAGGGCAGATTGACATTCATATGTCTTGTTCATGAGCCGATCTCCAAGACCTCGGGTAAGTTTTAGCGCTTATTCTGTCTCTGGTGCGACTGCCCACTTGTGTGTGTGTGTGTGTGTGTGTGTGTGTGTGTCGGTCTGTTTTAAGGTGTTATTCTGCACGATGTCCTGTATAATAACAGGGACTGCATGGGTGCACCCCTTTAATTTTCATCCCGTACCTTCTTTTGCATTATGCTATTCTTATGCAATAGCTGTACTACTAGATGTAGTCTTTTAGTTCAGAGGATGTTTTTTGTTTTTTTTTTATACTCTTTGCGTATGGATGATCAGTTCTCTGCAGTAGTTGAGTGGTTTTTGCAGCACTGTACATCATTCAGTCAAGATTCATAGGATCAATACAGGCTTATGATAAAGAGCCTTCTGCACAGTGTACTATGGAGATGTTGGCAAGTTTTTGGTGGCAGACAGTTTTGCAAAGGGGCAAAAAAAATGGTATCTGGCATATATATAAATACTTTATATCACATTACGCAATACGTTAACGCATTAAAATTATTTATTTATTTATTGTTGTGCATGTATTAATTCTTTGTAGTAAATTACATTTTATCCTATCCCAGTTCAAGTTGTGTTCACACTGACAGAAATTAAATCTTTGGATTTTGCCTAGTGTCTGTACTTTTGACTGATAGCAGATGTTACTACTTCACTACAGTATCTGTATCACAGTTATTTTTCTTGCTATTATAATATTTTGAAATATTTTGAATTCGCTTTTATTTGTATGTTTTCAAGTATCATTTACATTTTTGTTGAAGTTTTAGTAATTTTGTTATGTGCTTTGTCATTAAAAAAAAAATCATATTCTTATTTGATTTAAATGTATTTTTATTTGAGTTTTATTCATTTTAGTACCTAAACTTAAACTTATTTGATTTCAGTAACATTTCTAATATTCATTTAAGTTTTTCATCTTATATTTACATTTTATTTCAATTAACAAAAACTATTTTTAATAGTTCTAGTTTTAGTTAACAGTAACAACACTTAATCAGGTGATTGATCACATGAGCTTCACTGTCTTTACTCCTATTGGTAGTTGCTGCATTCTGCATACCTCAAAACGCTGTCAGTGTAAATGTGTCTGTGTACCAAAAGACAGCACCATAAGCTCAAAACCCTTTTCATTAACCACTTGAATTTTTTAAATTTTTATTGGTACTTAGATGGATCGACAGGATTTGTTTTCTTTATTTCAGCTGATTGCTTTAAATGGTTAATCTAATCTTGAAAATGTAGAATAACCGAATAATTCAGAGCTGTTGCATCCTGGCAGTATAACCAGTTTTAAGTGAATCACTTTCCCTGGATACACATGAATGGTGTCACTTCCCTCCCAGACGACCTGCAATGCATGTCTGTACATCGCATGTGCAGTCTAGACTGATGGGTTTCTTGCATGTGCCTAATGTGTGTGTTTTGTATGCCCTCTGGTGTTTCCTCTTACCTGAGGCTCATAGCACCTGCCTGAACCCACCTGAGTCTTGCTCCTGTGCCATTGTATTGGTCAGGAAAGAGGCGGGACCGTCTCTGATTACAAGACGCATGGCCAGAGTTCTCTGCCACTGATAGCACAGACCTGTTTTGTTCCCTCCTCACCTGTGCTATTTAAGGCGATGCCTCAACCCAGCTCTCGGCTCAGTCTTGGTCCCAGTTTCCCAAGCCTGCTTGTGCTTGGTGCGTGTGTGTGCATGAGTGTGTAACTGGTGGCAGAATCAGACAGGTGCGAGAGCGTCTGTGAAAAGTGTGTGAGAGCGGGGTGGTAGGGGACGGGGCGTAATCATGTTTGCGGGTGGTGGGTATGCGGGGGGGACCGTTGGGCGCCGGAAATCCACTCTACCTTCCGAAAACCTGCAGATCCCCAAACCGGCGGGGGCGAGCGGCGTGCGTAAGAGCAGTAGTTGCAGCAGCGGAGGCAAGATGTTGTCCATGTCCTACAGCGAGAGTATTCGGAGCGGCATAAGCCGCTACCACTCGGACCAAGGTCTGAACCAGCCACCGAGGCAGACGGACCAGGCCGAACTCCAGCGGCTCAGGGAGCAAAGAGTCGCTGCCCAGATCAAGAACATGGAAGACTTCCTTAAGATGAACGGCCTGGCGCTGGAGGAGTGTGTATCGTACCAGACGGGCATGAAGTACAGGTAAGAAAGAAACGACGTATGCCATTGCGTCCACTGAACATTCGGACAGCGTAGTTTCTTATCGAAGTGCGTATTGAGCTCATTTTCTGATTCTTTTGTTTGGCACTTGATGGGAGTGATTTAGTTTCAGGAAGTTGTTCTGCTTGTGTCCGGTGTAAACACGGTAAACTTGTAGGCTGTTCATGGTTGCCCAACAACGTTGTAACTTGGTGCGGTATATATGTGTGGTCACAGTATGTTCACAAGCTTGCAACAGCTTGGAACATATTTGTAATGCATTACTGTTGTGGGGTTTTTGTTTCTAATAAAAGTTTTACATATAAAACAGAATATTTCTATTTAGCTTATTTTAGTTTAACTTACTTGAACTTAATTTAGTTTTAGTAATTCTAGTATTTCATCAAACTTATTTTATTTCAGTTAGTTGCCAGGTATATTTGCAATTTTATTTCTGTAATGTATTCCTGGTTTTTATTTCTATTAAAGGTTTTTGAATTTCTAGCTAAATTTATATAGTTTTCATATAGATTTTGTATACACTTACTGTGTCATTTTTGGACATACTGCCTAATACTAAAATGTCCAAATTGAAACTTTCAGCATGAAGTCCAAAGCAGAACTCTGCAGCACTGTGACTTTGGTGACTGTGGTCCATTTGCTCGTCTCAATGCGAGCAGCCACGGTTTATTTTCATCAACTAGGTCGCTGGCATATTTGCCCAACAATGAGGGAAGGGCATATCAATCTCTAAGGCGAGGTGGAGGAAAAAGTGCCCAGAGAGAGCATCATCTCAGCATGTGGCAAGATTGTCTTCTGTATTACGGGATTGATGGATTCTCAGCATCCTTGCTTCGGGTTAGGAAATTTATATGGATCTGTGTCAGCTCCCTGTTGCAGAAAAACTTTAGGGTTTTGAGTTTTTACTCATGCAGAATCATTGACAAGTGATGCTGCAGTATCCCGGCATGCATCAGGTAAAAACAGTACTTTTGGCATGATATGTTGAGTTGTTATGCAATGGATAGTGTTGTCATGTGCTGGTGTTTAGCTGTCTGGTGTTGTGTATCAGGGACAGCAGTCGGTCAGCGTGTCTATTGTGCTTTACTGTAACGCTCGCTCAGCCGACCGTTAACATCTGATCTGGTATCAGTTCTGAGAGCGGGGCTCGCATTACAAGGCATATGTTGGTTCTCCCATCATATTAAAAACAATGGGTCAGAGCACATACACATGATGAAAATTAGTGCCTTTGACAAAAAACACAGTTATCTCTATTGCACCTCCAAGGCCAGTGTCTTTTTGGCTGAAATGCAGTGGCTTCAGGGCTCGACTTTTTGCACATGATTGCTGGTATTACGCATAGCTTTACTCATTCCTGCAGGTTTCGCACTTAAAAGGCGGGAAATTCCCGCAAACATTTCTTCAATTAGCTTGTTGGTTTAAGGAGCAAATTAATCCACACAGATTATCAAATCAAATTAGTAATTTGAAAACTTTGTGAGACATAATTTCACAAACGGTGAGAGTGATTCAACGTTACCACGTCTTCTCTCTCGCTTTCAAAATGTGCACATGGCTTCACATCAACACATCGTCTGTTCAAGCGAGCTGCACGCTGCGCTATAAGACTTTTGCTTGTGTTTTGGGACAGAATTTTCATCGTTACTAAAGTTTATCATATGCACGACTTGTCAATTTTATTCAGTTCAAAATCATTCAGTAGTATGTTTGTTTGTTTATGTTTATTATTTAAATCCCCATTAGCTACTCCATTAAGCAGCAGCTATTATTCCTGGGGTCTTAACAATTTTTTAACAAAATATTAACATCAAGGCTGTACAACAATGAAGACAAATACAGAAGTGCACACAACATCATCTAAGACATCTAATTCACCCACACACAACACAGCACAACACATATACACTAAACATAACATAATATAACAATATAAGCTCTTCTATATACTAAATATTACCACTGTCCGGGTAAAACACAAAACGTTAGGTTTTGTTTGGGCTGATTCAGCATGTAGAATCGCTGGTGAGAGAGAGAGAGAGAGAGAGAGAACTCTGATTGGCTGTTCATTGTTCATTCACCAAGCACAAGAATAATGGCAAAACAGTGAATAAAGAAAAATGTGCACAAGAATAATGGCAAAACAGCGAGCAAAGAAGTCAAAACGGTACAGATAGAAGGCTGTTCTAAGTTTACATCATGTTACCTGAGTGTTCTTGGGCGAATATTTTAATAATATTAACAACATGAGCGGAGTGGAATAAAGAAAGTGATCAGCAGGATTGATATTCAAAACTGCTGTGTTTACGGTCTGTGTATCTGCAGCCTGCAGCATCGCTTTCTCTTTTTGAGTGTCGAATATAGATGGATATATCTGCAGAAAGACCGTTGTCTCATTTACACGCAGGCGCAGAACATGTATGCTAGTTGACAGTCGGCTGTAGTTCTCTCGGTGTGTTCAAGTGGAGCTTTTTTGCCCCAAATTGAGGCAACAACAACACAGTCGGCTTTCATCAGCGCTAGTTCTTTGGCGTCGGTTTGGTGTATCCCTTCCCTAAGAGGGGAATTCCTCCCCATTTTCCATAATGAAATTCAGGCACACTGGGCTGTTAGGGTTGTGCAGATAGATGATGATATCTTGTATCGATGATAGCTTGAGATATCGTCAAAGCGTCAGCTATTAAGAGGATTTGGAATTTCCAATTAATGTATTCAATTATTGTTAAATTAATATTAAAATTAATTTCATTGCGCATCACCTCATAACTGATGTGCTACAGGGATAATAAGAGATTAGATAGATTAGCTTACTTCTCATTGAAAATGTTTTAAAAACATTTAATTACATATTATTCAATGAATGATGTTATTAAAATTAAATAAATTGTAATTTAAAAAATAGTAGCGGTCTATAATAGGCCTGAACACTTCAATAATCAGTCATCAATGACAATTAAGTGCAGCTTTATTTCAAACACAGACTTTCAAAAGCAAGTTGTTTAACATTAAAATACTTTAAAAAAAAAAAATCCAATACTTACGAGACTGTTATATACAGTTATCAGCAAATGTAGTAGATTCATCTTTCGTCGTCTCTGAGAGAATATGCGCTGTTAATGCAGTGTCAGATGCCGAAAGCTTGGTCAGTTTTTACTTTCACTTTTTATAGTGAATAATTGAATGTGGTTCGAGACTTCTTCACTACCATAAATCTCACGCAAAGTTTGCACATTGCTTGTGTGATATCCACTGGCTCGCCTTCATGGTTAAAAACGGAAACATTTACAATATTGCGACATGACATTTTTCTTTATCAAAATTTCATCTTTGCTCACAAAATGATGACCTATGATTCACATTTCACGTGCATCATTTCCCTTGATAATAAAAGTAAGTATAATTAAGTGAATGAGTAAATAAACAGGTAAATTAATGATCCAATAAATTAGCAAATATGACAAAGTTAAAATCCCCCCCCACACACACACACACACTCCGAAGATAATATCATGTATCAGTGATCTCACACGCTGACGCAACAGGATTTGACTATGAGTGTCGCCCAACACTAGTGTCTGTATTGAATGACAGGTTTTGTCAGTATTTGCATTTGCTTAAATTCTTCTCTTGAAACCATTTTGTGCTCTTAGACACCTAAGATTTAAATGATTTTATTAGATGCCCTGTTGTCACTAACAGAGGGGAGTATCTTCCATCATTCCTTGATCTTCAATACAAGCTGCACCCGGATCAGGCAGAAACATGCATTTCCGATCACTCTCATCACTAATTCAAGGATGGAGGGATAGACACTGAAGCTGCGAAAGAGAATGCCTCTCATGCCTTACTGTATGTCTCCTTAAGCCAGACAATATGGTACTTGTGTAACATCAGTACTTACTAGGTTAACACGGGCAGATCTGTTATCAGTGTGCACAAGATTGGGCTTTGATTGCAGCGCACTTAAGTTTGACAGTAGGGTGAGTAGCCCATGCATCCCAAATCTGCTTTATTTATTTCACTTGCCTTAAAACAAAAGGCTGAATTTCAGTGTGCACATTAGCCTTATATATATATATATATATATATATATATATTATATATATATATACATTACCACTGCATAGTCAAGCAGCCTAATATACCCGCTGTCGTCTGTGTTATTAATGTTAATCAGACAACAAAAGAGAGAAAACCTTTCACTGCTCTTGACTGAATCACTTTTGCAACTTTAATGAGAATAAATGTATGCTTTTAATTCACACAGTGAAGACTATGCAGTGTTTTTTTATACATATGATTACTTTATACAATTTATGTAGTAGGCCTATTTCTTATTTATAGTGCTTGAAGTTTTTTTGGGTAGGTCTGTTTCATTTGTGTCTTTGTTCTATTGTAGTTTGTTTTCATATGCTTGTAATTTAGTTTCTTTATTCTTTTTTATCACTGTTTACGTGTCTGTAGTAAGCTTGAGTTTTTTTTATTTATTAGTCTATTCGGTTTTTGTGGTATTGAAAATGGTGACAAGAATTATGACATTTCAATGGTATAAAATATTTTAATATCATTAAAAACCTTATTTAAAGCAAAAATAACTATATTGTGATATATATATCGTTATTGTGAAATAATATTGCCCACCCCTACTTTGTGTGATCATCTAATCGCAACGATTGTGTTGTAAATATGTAAATATATAGTCTAATGTGCTGCATGTTTCAGAGTGGAGTACAGCACTGTTTGTTTCGATAAGATATTTCTTTAATCAACGTAATAAAAATGTTAATTATAGTAGATGGTGGGGGTATTCTTTCTTTTTTTGTCTTTAGCTGATCACATGCATGTAATATGAATGTTGAAATTCACCCTTTGTACTCCATTTTGTAAATTGTAAGCAAATAATTGTATCTTTGTTGTGCCCTGCATGTTGTTGTGTTAGAGTTGAAGGTGTATAACCTAAATGTTTAAGGTGATACGTAGAA